AACCCACATCCAAACAACCAGGAACAATCAAACCCGGACCGGACCTGCTCTGATACCATGTTAAAATTCCGGCGGGCCGAGAACAACGGATAGAGTGTCGGGTAAAACTAACCACTTGCATATAAAGTCGGGATCCACAATTCTAACCCAAAAGCTTAAGCTTATGGGTAGGGCTTCACCCTTCAATATATGCAAGTGATACTTATCTTTATTTTCCGATGTGGGAACTCCAACATGACAAAAATTATTTTTTTAATTCAACTAATTCCCATATGTTTTTTCGTTATGATTTTTGTAGCTAATATTTTTAAATTTCGATCACAAATTATGAAAAAAATAATAAAATATAATATTAATAGAATAATTTTAAGAGGAAGTATTGAAATATCATATTTTCACAATATATTTTATAAAAAATAGAGATATCATAATTCAATATATTATAATAAAAATCATGAAAAGTCAAATAAAAAGAAAGACGTAAAACTGACCTGATAGTGGAAGAGATGGGTAGGGTAGCCGATATTGGCTAATTGAACTTTATTAAAAATGTGAAAAGTCAAAATGAAAATTTAATTGCATCAGAAATAATTTTATTTGTCACATTTCTATTACCGAAACAAAATACCGAGACTTAAAACTGACCCGATATTGGAGTAAACTTTAACATTGCACTACTAGTGTTTTGAAAAAATTTTATTGTATCAGAAATTATGAAAAGTCAAAATGAAAATTTAATTTTAAGATGGATGAAAGGATCTACTCCGTAATTTATGATGAAAGATATGGTCAAAGGAATGCAAGCTATGATCTGCAATTCCAAGGTCTGCATGCAGAACCCAATGCGACGGCGGCGGAAGAAAGCCGCCACCGGCGATCAGAATCATCAGATGAAGAAGGAAAGATTCGTTCTCAGAGAAAAAGGGGAAGCAAATCAAATCATGCACAGTACCCATTTTCAACGTAAATACGGAGCAGATAGATATCTACCCGGAGGCCACACTATTTAATTAGAAGCAAATCCAATTAACTCCTCACTTTCAAGTTTGAGCTAAATGCAAAATTTTACTTTCTAGTATTTTATTTAAAAAAAAAATTATAAATTAGAATAAAAAGAAAATGTGTATTTTTTATATTTTAATAATACATCAAAGGTTTTACTTTAAATTTCCTTTTTCCAAAAATTATCTTCTCGTTGCGCGTTACGATGTTTAACTGAATTTATTTTCAAATCATTTTATAACAAAAGTGGTGTGAAATTTAAAAATAAAAATTATGCTTTTAAAAATTAATTTAAAAGATCGATCTACAAAATTAGATAAGATAACAAATATTTTATAATCATCAATAATTGAAGAGAAATAAGACTAGTCTTGTAAAGTATAATGGATATAATGGTCGTATTTTCGACCACCACGAAGCATTAAAGCCTTTAAGGTCATTGCGAGCAATAAAGGCTATTCCCACCATTCCATCAACCAAGATCGTAGAGGTGTCAACATTGACCTTTGTGAAACCTGTATGTGGTCGCACTCACATGAGCTTTTCACAACTATGTGGTTCCTTTGTTAATTGTGGGTTGCCCATAATTGCCTGCTTTCATATTGTGAAAATGAGTTTTAAAACATTTTAAATATGAATCTTGAAATCTTAACGTTTATTTTTTTTGAAAAATAATTTTCTTTCTATTGATCAATGAAAAATGTGGGGTTATAGTTATCCACATTTGTCCAACCATTCTAAGAACTAAAAGCATGTTCTTTCAACATATTTTTATTAGAGTCAAATTAAAAAAATACGTAGCATATAATTAGAGCATTTTTAATGGTGAATGTTTAATGAGTTGTTTAGCTTAAAACAGTGCATCTTATAAAAAAATTTCTTTATAATTAATCAAGGTGGCATGTAAAATTGCTTATATATAATCACCGCTACTTCCCAAAGTAACTGTATCTTAAGATATGGAGTAAAATAGTTTTTTCAATAAAAACCAATAAAATTTAGTGTAGAAAAATTATCTTTAATGAAATAATAATATTAAGTTGTGGGTTGCTTGTATTTACCATTAGAGTAAAATATTAAGACCCTGTTCTTTAGGGCTTGGACTATTTACTTCCAGTTTCTTCTTGTGCCTTCTAGTTTTTTCCAATTTCTTTCAGTTCTTCCAGTTTCTTCCAATTCATTCCAAATTTTTCGAGTTTCTTCCAACTATTCTCATTTTCTTCAAACTTTTTCTACTCCTCAACCAATTACTCTAAAAACGATATATTTTAATGTGATTATTATTATTATTATTATTATTATTATTATTATTATTATTATTATTATTACAACTGTTATGTTCATAAATATAGTTTATAAATTATTTTTTTTCATCTCACTATTTTTACGATTCACTCCCGTATTTTTTTCTTCAACTTTTTAATGTGAATAAGATTTTTTTTGTATATTAGTCTACATCATAAAACAGGAAAACATCAATATGTTAAACTATATTAAAAATTATGGATAAAATAGTGACATTGAAAGTTTTATTAATCTAACTTTATATAAGACCTCCCACCTTTTCCTTCATTACTTAAAATTTGTTCATTTTTCTAATTTTTATAAAAAAATTCTAAGTCAAAATAGTTTAGAGAAAAAGACTTAAATATGATTAAAACATAAAAAATGTATAAAAAAAGTTCTATGTATTTATTCCAAAAATAGGACTTCAACGAAAATAAAATGTTAATCATGAAAGAAAAAATATGTTTGATTACATTATGTGACATGTGCGATATTTAAAACAAAATCTTATACTCCGTAATATATAAAGTATACTTACAAATATATTATTTATAAAAAATACTGCATAAATAAATTGAGGTGCAATATAACCACAAAGACTTTTTAAAATTTAATAATTTTATATTTATGCTAACTTTATATTATACTTGCAGGCAGGGACTCACAAACAGGTGAAAACTGAAAACCTTGACAAGTAGATTCGTGAAACTGAATAGTTTAAGAGAGTTACACATTCGGATTTTTATCAGTACACACTAGAACAAACTAAGCAGAATTGTATATCTAATAATTATATATTAAAAATATTAAAAAATTATATGTTTAATGTTCTATTTTACTTATAAAGAAATGCATTGGATGGTGTGCAAAAATGAAAGTGGACAAACACTCAGGGACGGAAGGAGTAATTATTTTTTTTGCAAAAGTAATTTTTTGTATTTAAAAAATAACAATACTTTTTTTGTATCTTAAAAGTATTCTTTAAGATAACGTGATAATGATGATGATGATTATAATAATAATAATAATAATAATAATAATAACACTAATAATAATATAATATAATAATAATAATAATAATTTATAACAACAAGAATTTAAAAAAAATATTTTTAAAGTTTTTTAGGTTTTTTATTTTTTGAAGTTTTTATAATTTTTTCTAATTCCTTCCAGTTTCTTTCCGTTCCAACATCTAGCTCTTTTTTTTTTCAATCCTAAAGAACACAGGCTTTTAAATAATGTGACACTGTAACAACGGGCTTTCTTTTGGAACCGGACTCCCAATTCGCCGCGAAAATCGTCACCGGCCCCTGCCTGGCTGAGGTCACACCCGTCCGCCTCCGTCTCAATGGAGGAAGAGAAGGCCGCAGCCTACTACGACGATCTCTCCCGGAAAGGAGGCGGCGCCGCTAGGTTCAAGCAAGGCCTCGGCTTCTCTGCCGCATCCGGCTCAAACGACGCCGTTCCTTCCCGAGGCTCTGCAATCCCGTCCGCTTCTTCGTTCCTCAGTAGCTTCGTCAGAGCCTCGAGCCCGTCGAAAAATGAGGAGCTAGAGAGAAAATCCCAGCTCCAATCGATCCAGAACAAGCTGAAGAAGAAGAAATCTGTTTCCCCTTCTAGGGTTTCCAAGGACCGGGACGACGATAAACGTTCGTACCGCCATAGCCGCGACATTCTCTCGCACGAGAGGGAGAGTCGAAGCCGAGAGAGACATTCTAAGCATAGGAGTCGTAGCCGGAGCAAAGACAGAGTTAGAGATAGATATTCAAAGCGTAGAAGCAGGAGCAGAAGCAGAAGCTCTAACCGCAGATATAGGTCCAGAAGTACAAGTAGTGACAGAGGTAGAGAGAGGAGGAGGAGGTCAAGAAGCGGTTCAGATGAAGATAGGGACAAGAGGAAGAAGAATAGGGATGTGAAGGGAAGAAATTCAGGCGTTGATTATGCCACTGTGATTGAAGGTTATGACAGAATGGTATGCATTCTCCACTTGACAAACCAAAGTTGTCCTCTTTATAAACTTGATTGTGGTTAAATGCAATGCGTGAAATGGAACCCTTGTAGATTCTATCGTAATGGTTTGGCATTTGTCTATCTGAGTTGCAAGGGAATGAATTAAAAACTAACTTGGCCCTTATTGCATCCTACATGCTTGTAGAGTACCACGAAAATGAACAATAGGATCATTTTGGTGTAGATAAGCACGGTGGGAGTGTTTGTTTTTACCTATTATTGGAGCTGGTTTGGATGAGAAGTTGATAACATGTGCAATAAAAAGGTCTAGTTTCAATACCTATGTTTATGCTATATCTTGCAAAAGTTCTTGGGGGATCGTAGGGTTTGAAATTTTATAGACTTCGCTAATGAGGATAAAACAGAGGATTGACTATTGGACTGCTTGGAATTCGGAAAGGAATTAGGAAGAAAACGTGAGAGAAAAAAATGCATGGGAAATTTGGAAGGAAAACCAGTGAGGGAAAATTGATCATTTTTTTCAAACTCAATCATTATTATTATTTTTTTTTTGATATTTTTCTCAATCAAACGTTATCACACATGTATAATATTTTATACATATAAATCGTGTTTCATTCTCTTTTGTATTTTCAGTGGTATAAATGTATAATCGAACAAGAAAATAACATCCATTAGCACTGTTTTTTCCATTAACTAGCGTTTTTTAGGATCAAAATTATGCCCTTTGACATGAGGAATTCAGATTCTTATATTTTTTGTTTGTTACTCGTATTTACATGGTGCATGGTGCATGCTTTTCGCGGATGAGTGCTTATCGACGATACACGTGAGGGACTAAACGAGAAGTTGGAACAATGGCGCCTTGCCCTTGAGACTAAAGGGTTCAGAATAAGTAGGAACAAGACTGAATACTGGAGTGTCGTTTCAGCGGCAGAGAAACAGAATCAGAGGTGGAAGTTAGGATTGACTCTCACCTAGTACCTAAGGTAGACAGGTTTCGATATCTTGGATCGGTAATCCAGGCTAATGGGGAGTTAGACGAGGATGTTGGACATCGTGTTGGAGTGGCTTGGGCCAAATGGCGGTTGGCTTCAGGGGTATTGTGTGACCCGAAGATTTCGCCCAGGATGAAAGGCAAGTTCTACCGATCCGTAGTCAGACCTGCTATGTTATATGGGGCAGAGTGTTGGGCGGTTAAGAAGACTCATGTGCGTCGTCTGCATGCAGCGGAGATGCGAATGTTACGATGGATGTGTGGGAAGACAAGGTTGGATAGGATTTCGAACGAAGTTATTCGACGTCAGGTAGGCATGGCGCCGGTGGAAGATAAATTGCGGGAAGCGAGGTTGAGATGGTTTGGTCATGTGAGACGGCGGGATGCTGACGCCCCTGTACGGAGATGCGAGCGGATTACGGTTTTCGGGGGAAGTAGGGGAAGGGGTAGACCTAAGAAGAATTGGAAGGAAATGATTAGACAGGATTTAGGACTTCTCACCCTGACTGAGGATATGACTTTAGATAGGAACCTTTGGAGAACTAGGATTAGAGTAGCTGGTTAGGAACTCGGTGCTATAGAGGTTTTTTGTAGTGTGTTGTGTTTGATTGGAATCTTCTATTAATGCTTGTAGAACTTTCTTTTCATTGTACTTGGTGTTTTATCCATGCTATACTGTATACCCTATCATTTTTTGTGCAGGTTGAGCCGGGGGTCTCTTGGAAACAGCCTCCCTGCTTCCAAGTAGGGGCAAGGTCTGCGTACACACACCCTCCCCAGACCCTACTGTAGTGGGATCCAACTGGGTTGTNTAGGAACCTTTGGAGAACTAGGATTAGAGTAGCTGGTTAGGAACTCGGTGCTATAGAGGTTTTTTGTAGTGTGTTGTGTTTGATTGGAATCTTCTATTAATGCTTGTAGAACTTTCTTTTCATTGTACTTGGTGTTTTATCCATGCTATACTGTATACCCTATCATTTTTTGTGCAGGTTGAGCCGGGGGTCTCTTGGAAACAGCCTCCCTGCTTCCAAGTAGGGGCAAGGTCTGCGTACACACACCCTCCCCAGACCCTACTGTAGTGGGATCCAACTGGGTTGTTGTTGTTTGTTTGTTGTTACTCGTATTTACAGTTCTATAGTGCTGCAATTGTATAGTGGATACCAACACATTGTTATGCTTGTAATTAAGACGTTTTTTTGTGTTTTTTTTTAAACAATGTTTTGTAACTTTAAATGTCAAGTCTTGGGATTTTGGGTTGACGCTATTCTGAACAGACTCCAGCTGAAAGAGTTAAGGCCAAAATGAAACTACAGCTTTCTGAAACCGGTAAGCAAGCATATCTTTTCAGTGAGGGTGTATGACTCATGTAGTATACAAAACCATTTGATTTTCATGCGTCATTGTCCCTTTTCTGTTTTATTTGGGCTCACTTTTGTACCATTTGTTAGGATAAATGTGTTAGCAGGTAAATTGAAAAAGTGTTTCTACAGAATTGTTAATCTCATCTTTTATGGTTTAAGTAATCATTGAACAAGAATATATTCCTAAGGTCTTGTATTTTGTTGTTGATATTTCCTTATTGAATCCTTGGAAGATTTTTTATTTATCAATGTTGTTTCGCTTTTAAGACCGACAACAGTTTACCCAGAAGTATCCCATAAAGTGGGCTTTGTGATGGGTATGTGTAACTTGTAAGTATACCTTACCTTTACATAAGCTAGGTGGAGAGGTTGTTTCGGAAAGACCCTTGACTTGTTTTGCTTTTCAGATTAAGTAATAATTCCATTGTGGTGCTTATGAAAGACCGTCATAGACATTCCAGTCTTGTTGAACTGATAAATGTACACAGTATACAGGATGTATTTGTTCCTGGGATCAGATAAACTTTCCCCGCCCCCACCACTTGTTTCTTTAAGAACACAAACTTGTAGCTTTATATATTTGCAGATATGCCAACTTATAGATCAAGCTCTGACTAACAACTTCAATCCCTTGACTGGTTTATAACACAACACTGGGATTTTCTAAATCATCCCAATGCAATGCTTTATTTTTAGACCTAGGGTTAGGATTTAGATGGATGAATAATCCCATCTCACAAATCCCTATTCAATCCAAAATATTCTCAAGTTTTGCTAATAGTAGACTATCGTATATTTTACATTCTACTCTGGTATCTTATATCTCATTCTATATTTTCCGAATCAAAAGCTGAGAAAGACGAGGCAAAGGGCATGGGTGCTGGATGGGAACGTTTTGACTTTAACAAGGATGCTTCTCTGGATGATGATGAGATTGAAGGTTAGCAATTCTGTTTTTTGATACTACTTCGACTATTTATTTATTTATTTATTTATTATATTCCCTTGTGTATAAGCCTCTGTTGTTTTTTGCATGAATATTAAGGGCATACATGATATAAGATCGTCTTTCCAATTTTACTATCTTAAGTGCATGAGATGAGAAAACTATGACAAACAACTAGTGTGGTTTCTGTTTCCCAGCCACTTTCTTGTTTAGTCCCTCCCAAAATAAACTTATCATTTTTCTCCTTTCCTTTTAAGGAAGGAAATATGTGGCTCTCAACATCTCTCTCTCTCTTCTAAACAAATTATAATCAGATAATTTTCATCTTTCAAGACTTTTCTTAAACTCTGTGATGTTAGAGTTGGAATTTTTTTTGGGATGGGTGGAGTTTATGAGTATCTCAAAATTGAGTTCAGATGGATTTGTGTCTGAAATGACTACCAATGGAATTTATACTTTTACAGTCCTTAGTTGAATATGTAATCCAACCTATCACAATTATATACTTATCATATTCACCTATTAATCTTTAGGTAACATTGAGAATTTATTATTATTGTTATTGTTGTTATTATTTATTTGATTAAAAAAACTGAGACAAAGAGAAAAGGCATTATGAATTAATCTGCTCGTCTAGCCATTTGAGCTACACTGAGAAAATTTAGCTCATTCAAACTTCAAAACATTTAAACTAAAATTCACGCTCAACAATTAAGGCCCCGACCGATTTACATTCAGAGAAACAAACTTTTTATTCTGTTGACTGTTTGCAGCTGCTGAAGATGATGTTGCATTAGTCAAGCAAATTGGGCAAACCTTTCGGTTTTCAGCAATGGAGGTAGACACTTTATTATGCGTTCACATCTCATGGCCATGCCATGCCACTTATGGAATTTATGTTCCCCATTGTTCAAGTGAGAAATCTGTTCAAAAAACTCTTTTTTTTGTTATTTCAAAAGGCTAGAAGGGAAGAACAAATAAAGGCTGCTCATGATGAGGCTATTTTTGGTTCTTCGTGTCATCCTCCGCAAAACAACACCAATTTTGGAACTTCTTCACATCCACCTGTCACTAATGATGAAATGGAAACAAAGAATGTCGAAACCAGTACTCCTCAAACTGATGACTCGTTGACGAATCTCATTAGCGATCAGGTTAGTGCCACAAGACTCTCCTTCTTACATCTTATTATGTGATTTACGTGATAACCCTGACCGAGTGCAACTATTGCTTGTCTCATGATATTCCACATGTTAAGACGTCGTGTTTTTATTCGACTTATTGTGTTTAGTGATATTTGCCTCGTTCGTTACTTGTTAGGTGATGGCAATGCAACAAGTTTCATGGCGTGATCGTACTCGTAGATCATAATTGAAATATTTTGCGAGCAATCTTGGTACACACAAATCATACTCCCTCTGTCACTTAAAAAGCTTCCTACTTAGTATTCATATAGTCAAACTTTATCTTCTTTATGTGCCTATTTTCAATTACTAATTTGATAAAGTAAAACAATCACCTCGGTTATGAGTATCTATACTGTGACTGGAGTATTACTTATTCTTATTGAAATCAATCTGAATAGGTAAGATCAGAAATTAAATAACTTTAAAAACTATAATTAGACTAAAATAGATCACATCAGATTTTGATGAAATTAGATTAGATCTAATCAAATAAAACAAGTTCTAAAAAAGAGTTGTATACATCATGGTCATATAATAATCTACCAAGTACTCCCTATGTCTCAATTTAAATCGCATGTTGTGGTTTACGAGGTTTGTCTGAATTTATTTTCAATTCAATTTATTTGAAAATTGGTATATAATTTAAAAATAAAATTTATGTACTACTCCGTACATCAAAAGCTCTACAAAATAAAAAATGATAAGTTTATATTATTTTCTAAATGGGTAGCAAAAATGAGTATAAAAAACATGGTTAAAATCTAATTCTATGAATAATAAACAAAGAATTTAAATTGAGATAAAAAAGTATCAATGATATTTTACTAGTAATGCTGGATGAGAAACCTATGAAGAAAATTTAGGGTCATATGATAACCTATCAGATGACATCAAAATTGTCTTCCTAGGTTTCTCATCCCACAATAATAGAGAAGTATTTGATTTATTCTTTGAAATTATTTTTGGATTTCATGTGTAATTAAATAAATTTCAAAAGCATATGATATTGAAACACCTAAAGATTTCTCCAACCATCATTTTAAATTTCATATTTTTCCAAATACTTACTTTTCAAAGTTCAAAACTCATATAATTTCTTTTAGAATTTCAACATCATATGATATCGACCTTCTAAAGCTCATCAAACCAAACGAATCTTAATACTCTAATAAGCTTGCACGACGGAAGAAGTATGAAAAAAAATTCCGAGTCACTTGATAATTGTTGGACGAGCTTTCAAAAAAATAAAAATATGAAATAAATAATTTTTCATTGAAATAAGTGTAGAATTTGTACATTTAATATCAACACTGAAATAAATTAAACAGAAAATAATTTTAGTCTACCTCATAAATGTAAACAAACCCTAAATTTGTTCCGGATTGGATAATTGAGTGGAGTAATAAATTTCATCTCCACCTTTACGAGCAAGGATAATAATAATAATAATAATAATAATAATAATAATAATAATAATAATAATAATAATAATAATAATAATAATAATAATAATAATAATAATAATAATAATAATAATATGTGGAATAATATTGAATAATTAAATTTGCAAATTATAGCAAAAACTTAAAATTATATTTATACAGTATAAAAACTAATTCTGCTAGGATGTTAATTACAGTACTTAATTTCTTCCATAGAACTATTATGGCTGTGAACTTACTATGAGAATTTCTATTTATAATGCATTTTGGGAACTTTTTTCCCGGGTTTTCCTCTTAAACTTTGTACTGGCACATCTAGGCCTAGTTTGGTTATGAAATTCTTTGATTTTCCAAATTTATCATATATAATTGAATGTTTTTTCAAATTAGTCTATTTTTTATGTAAAAACTTATTTAATATGAAAAATCAAAGTAGGATTCTTCCCTTTTAATTGATTCACGGTGTTTGAGCGAAGTCAGAAGACCATTTTTTATTTTTCGTAGGTGTGGGGAATTGTCTTACACTTCTAGAGACAATTGACAATAATGTTCCCGTTACTCGTACGCTGTTAAATTGAAATTATTTTCAAATAATTTTATATGAAAAATGTATAGAATTAAAAAATAAAAATTACATATTTTAAAACTACATGAAACAACAACAACAACAACAACCCAGTTAAATCCCACAAGAGTAGGGTCTGGGGAGGGTGTGTGTACGCAGACCTTACCCCTACTCAAAAGTAGAGAGGCTGTTTCCAAAGAGACCCCCGGCTCAACGTCAAAAGTTGCATTGTTTGACTAACTGCTACTTCATTAATTAAAGAAGCGCAGACAGTTTAGAGATCCATTTTGATTTATTCCATCACATCCCAAAGCCAAAAAATGGTGAAATTTTGGCTCCATCAGAGATGATGGAAAAAAAACTAGTGGTGACATGACCTTATTATTTTATCAAATGTGCAACGAAAATATACCAAGAGAGTGAATAAAATTTGACTCTGTGAATAGTGAACGAGAACATTATTGTTTTACGGAAGGGGTGTTTGTTTCAATTCCATAATTTGCATTGTAGTGTTTTTGTTTAACCGCTAATACTTTCTTCGTCCCGAATTAAACTGTTTGTTTACTATTCACAAGATCAAATTTGATTAATTTTATTTAAACCTTTTTTTATTAATTTGATAACATAATATAATTATGTCACTTTTTGTTTTGGAGCACTTTTAATATAGTTTTTTAACATGTACTTTTTTTAATTTCACCCTAATTTTTATTTAAATTAGATTGAAAATAATTTGAGTCTACCGTCTAAATTGAAACATATATTTTTAAAATACTACTCCGTACTTCGGTATTTGTAAACGGAATGCAAAAGGGTTCTACCAAACGTTGGCTTACCTTTTTAAACTTTTCCTTTTACTTTGGTTTTTCTTAAAGAGAGTAAAAAGTAAAAACACTCTCCGCAGAAGCGGAAATACTTTTGAATTTTAGATGCCTTCTCATGACCGTTCTCTTTTTTTTTTCTTTTAAATTTAGATGCAAACAATAAAAGCACATATTCTCTCCGTCCAAAAAAAAAGACACCTAATTATTATTCATGTGTCAAAGTAATTCTAATTTTTTTTACATTTTTTTCGATAATTTTGATGAAATAAAATAATCTTATCACATCTTGTTTTGTACTCTTGTTCCAAATTAAATTACATGTTTATTATTCATATGATCAAACTTTATTTACTTTCTTTTCCTATTTTCACTAGTCATTTGATGAAATAATATAGAGTAAATTCCTTAAAAGGTCCTCAGTTATAGGTCATTTTACATATTTAGTTCCTACATATCATATATTACTAATTTAGTCCATAATTATTGTATCATTTTTACGAATAGTCATTTGTTAACGTTTTTGTTAAGAACTTGGATATAATTGTATATTCATACTTCTCGCTCCTTAATTAAGCTTCCCCCCTCCTCTCGTACTCTTTCCTAAACTCGTCGCTGAGTTTGAAGCTCTAAACCCAAAATTGAAATGTTTATTCCTATCTCAATTTTTAGTCTTCCTGGTGGAACCTAAAATCAAAACCAATAAACTTTATGGATGAGTTTTATCGGTTAGTCTCAAGAAATTGTAAAGAAAATAAACATTATAACTCATCCATGAAGGTTATTTGTTTCGAATTTGGGTTCCACCAGTTAGACAAACAATTGAGAGAGGAGTGATGATTTCGATTTTGAGTTTAAAGCTTCACACTGAGCAACGAGTTTGGGAAAGGAGTGCGAGGGGAGGGAGGAAGCTTAATTGAAGAGGGAAAGGAGTGTGAATTTATAATTTTATCCATATTCTTAACGAAAATGTTAACAAATGACAATTCGTGGAAATGAATATAATAATTAGGAACTAAATTAGTAATATTTGATATATAGGGACTAAATATGTAAAAAGACCTATAACTGGGTATCTTTTATGAAATTTACTCAATAACATATTCATATCACCACTAGTTTTGTAGATCTTTTGATGTGGTTTGTAAATATGTAATTTTTATTTTTTAATTCTACATTGATTTTTCATATAAAATAATTTGAAAATAATTTCAATCAAACATCGTAAATCGAAACAAGTAATTTAAAATGGGACAGATTTGATTTAGTTTTTTAATGTATAATTTTACTTTTTTTAATTCTACCACATTTTTTATTTGTGTCGATTTAAAGATAACTTCAATTAAACATCGTAAACCGAACATGAGTTTTATTTTGAGAAGAATAAAATAGCTTCAATAAATTTTAGGAGTCCAAATTACTATTTCATTTATGAGTAAATTCCCAAAATAGTCCTTTGTAATAAGGGGTTTTCCCAAATTAGTTCTCAATAAGTTTTAATTACCTACGTGGTTCTCTATAATTGAGATTTATTTCCAAAATAGTCCTTTGTAATAATGTATTTTCCCAAATCAGTCCTTAATAAGTTTTAATTACCTACGTGGTCTTCTATAATTGAGATTTATTCCCAAGATGGTCTTTCGTAAATAATATTACTCAAATGAGGATTAATTGAGGGTATTTTTTTATTCGATCTATTTAGAATTAATTTTTAAAATAATCATTTATAATAAAGTGCTTTCCCAAAATGGTTTTTTCTAATTAAAAATGTGTATTTGATTTCAAATTTAAAAGATTTTTTTAAGTTTTAAATAAATCATAAATTATTTATACTCAATGTATTTTTTAAATTTTACATTTAGTTGTACAGAAATGATTGTTTCGAAAATATACTTTAAAATTGGATTATCAAAATATCAAAGTATCTCCCAATTAATCCTCATTTGAGGATTAATTTGGAAAAACACCTTATTACAAAGAACTATTTTGAGAATTTACTCATAAATAATTTATGAATTATTTAAAACTTAAAAAAATCTTTTAAATTTCAGATCAAATACACATCTTTAATTAGAAAAACCATTTTGGGAAAAATAATCATTATAAATGATTATTTTAAGAATTAATTCTAAATTTATGAAGGACCATTATTAAAAATACCCTCAATTAATCCTCATTTGATTAAAATTATTTATGAAGGACCATCTTGGGAATAAATCTCAATTATAGAAGACCACTTAAGTAATTAAAACTTATTGAGGACTGATTTGGGAAAATGCTTTATTACAAAGGACTATTTTGGAAATAAATCTCAATTATAGAGGACCACGTTGGTAATTAAAACTTATTGAGGACTAATTTGGGAAAATCCATTATTACAAAGGACTATTTTGGAAATTTACTCTTCATTTATTAAAGGAAAAAGGATATCATTTTGTGACGCTTATATAGAAAAGTTAGAACCTAATTTTAGAACACCATGAGAGAGTAAATGAATCTAATCTCAACTTCATACACCCTCCATCTCAATTTAAGTTATCTACTACCTTCGTCCCAGTGTATTTGTTCAGTTTGACTTTTTTGAGTCAAACTAGATAAACTTTGAACTCTAATTACTCTTAATTTATATTGCATATTAGCATAATGAAATACGGAGTACAATTTTGAAAGTTCTCAATACAATAAATCCAATAAAGTTATTTTTATGTTAAAATACATTAGGATTTTTATTTAATTACAGTTCAAAGTTTGTCCAGTTTGACTTGAAAAAGTCAAATTGGACAAATACAATGTGACGGAAGGAGTAATTACTATTTACATGTTTAAACTTTAATCATGTTCGCGTCTCATTTTCGCGATCCATTTGAAAAAAAATAGTGTTGTCAACTCTTGTTTTGTACTCTCCCCGTCCCAATTTAAATCGCATGTTTTGGATTGCAATGTTTGACCAAAGCTTTTACAAATTATTTTATATGAAAAATAGTGTAGAATTAAAAAAAATAAAAGTTACATACTTAAAAACTATTTTAAAAGATCTACAGAACTAGCAGTGACATGACCATATTATTTATCAAATGACTAACGAAAATATAGATAAATGAAAAATAGTGTAAAATTAAAAAAAAAATAAAAGTTACATGCTTAAAAACTACTTCAAAAGATCTACACAACTAGCAGTGACATAATCATATTATTTTATCAAATAACTAACTAAAATATGAAAAGAAAGTAAATAAAGTTTGCTATTGTAAATAATAAACTAGCAATTTAATTTGAGACACAGAGAGTTTTGATGTAATTTTTAGATATATGAATTTTATTTTTTAATTTCTTACCAATTCTTAAATAAATTGAGTTGAAAATATATTCAGTCAAACCTCGTAAACAATAAAAGAAGGCTCTTTTTGGGACAGAGGGAGTATAACAATACATAAACTTTTTCACAAGAGCAAATTTATACGTAGTATTTAAAAAAAATTAAATTAAATAAACACTTCAAATAATTTCATCAAAATGGTTTTGTAACCCATTCAGAGAATTGAATTCTTAGAAGGAACTAATGATGATTTCCATCCTTAGGATCCCTCAAGACCATCCACCCTAGAATTAGGTTGAGAGAAGATAAATTGAGCTGTAGTTTTTGTCGATGCTGTCGGGAGTGGGACCCGCGCACCACTTTCCGCCATCTCGCAAGACGAATGAATAGTTCATTTGACACTTGAAAGGTGGTAAGATCTGATGATCATTACAGAGAAGCCATTGTTAGTCATGGAGCCAATCGCTCAATTTTCCATACTCTTTTTCCACCATCAATCTCCTTCGAAGAATAGCGTAACCTGTGAATAATTTCAAAATTTTTGTACGGCGTTAGAGGCGCACAATTGCACAAAATGCATTAACTAAATAAATGTTGTTTTTCAAAAATTTAGAAGTTAGATTTACGTCCGGTGAATAGTTAGATTTGAGGGTCCTACAGTACTATATTCGGCCATGAAGGGATTCTTACCCCCCCCCCCCAGCCCGCCCCATGTATCATATTGGCAAAACAGGGGGACAATGGGCGGGTTGGGATGGTTTGTGAGAGGGGTTAGGGGGTAAGGACTACTTGAGAGTCGAATACTCGAATGGAACCCTATAGGGCATTCAAATGGCCCGGGTGTCATATAATGACACTTACAAGTAGAGATGTTTCTTCAATTGTCACAACTAGAGAGCCCGATGCACATATTAATAACATGAAATAACTAAGTCGCATTTTTTAGTACCTATCGTGCAAGCGAGATTGTTGGCCTTGCCAGAATTCAAACGATTCTGGTTTTAGCCTGTATCCTCCCCAGTTTGTTGGCTTTGGAATAATCAGACTCCTGCATAGAACACAACTCCGAAATCACGCATTCAGGATTGAAAACTAAAAGGCATTAAAGTATCTCAAATGAAAAAAAATTAATGAAATACGGGCAAATTTATAGTGACACCCATTTTCTGGTCCAGTTGAGGACCTTACGGTATCTCTTTTGAAAAATGATGGTCCTACCCCCCTGGTAAACCCCCCATCCTCGTCAATTGAATCCCCAAAAATTAGTTGACCCCAAAGTCAACTAATATTTTTTTTTTTTGGGGGGGGGGTTAGGGGGTATGAACCACCATTTTTTTCGAACGAGACCCAAAATGGGTGCAAGTAATACAACACCGTAAGGTCATCACTTGAACCGCTGTCATAATACGACACCCAAAATGGGTGCAAGTATAACCCCACCGATGAAATAATAATGGGTTAATAAGACCTTGAGTTGTGAACTAGATACAAAGTTATTATGCGCACTAAGGCGAAAAGAGCACAACTAAGACAAGATAATCAATTGGATTCAATCTTTTAATGTCACATGCATTGGAAGGCAAGTAACCTGTCAGAGTACTTCACTTCCAACTCTTTGTATTCGGAGTGGAGAACTTGGCGTCCCGGGATCACTGTGCTCTGATATAATTCGAAGAAAACATAGTACATTAAGCATCCATTCTAACATAGAAAATAAGGAATGTAGTTGAAAAAAGAAAAAAACCCATGCCAATACTCCCAAAAAAAATGAGAATCGATAAGAATACTCCAATATTATAGCATTCCCAAAATTATCTATATTTTCACAATAAAAGTCTAGGATTGTGTATAGATCACGGATACAGCTCAAAGAACGGAGGATCAATGTGAACTAAAAATTCTCTCAGAAGATTATTGAAAAATTATTGCATTTCCGGGAGTGCCAGTGATAATTATGGAATTTTGGAGTACTTTTATGAATTATTCTGCTGGAAAAATGAATGACCTGCTTGCTTGCTATGGCTCCAATCTGGCTTCCACGTGGACGGCTATGGAAGTACTCCTCAGATTCCTCATCAGATACTTTCTGTACAGATCCTTCTATTCTTACCTAAAAACCAAAATCTTGATAAGGTACCAAGTATGGAGCATTTTTTTTATAGCAAAATCTCTACTGAATTGATATGCTAACAAGTGTCACAAAAGCTGCTGACTTTGTTGTTGTAAACCTTGATTGAAAGGGTAAAAGTGATTCACCTGGCGGTTTAAATCATCCCAATAAAAAAGGAGTGCAGCCTGAGGATTTACAGATATTTCCTGAGCTTTACGGCTTCCGTAATTGGTGAACCTGAACAAAAAAGAAAAAGAGTAATCAGTAAAAAGAATGCGAAAAGAGCGGTAGGTAAAATGAAGTGATACAAGAAAAAGGATGACTAACCAAACAAAGCCATCTTTGCCAACTCCCTTTAGCAAAACGATTCTCGAAGAACTATAGCGTAGATAATAAAAAAAAGTTATGGTCTAGCAAAAAAAAGTATTGTGCAATAGCACGCAATACTACACAATAAGCATTGTAAATTTGTACTCCCTCATTCCCAAAATAAGCAACACAATATCATTTTCGGTTTGTCCCAAAATAAAGTCTCATTTCTATTTTTGGTAAGAGATATATGGATATCATCATTTCTTTTTTAAATTAATTCCAACCACATACACTTCACTTTTCTTAAACTTTGTGTCTGGTCAAATTGGAATTTTAATTTGGGACGGAGGGACTAATATGGAAGATTTGATAGGGAAAATGCACAGTAAGATACTCACGGTTTCCCATCATTTCCAGCTGTGGACAAGGCCATAGCATTGGGTTCCTTCAATCCAGCTGCTAATGCATCATCAAACCACTTTTCGAACTACATAAAGAGAGCTCATAATCAAAAACAAATGATTGAAACAACCCACCCCCACCCCCGTATTCTCAATTATCCTTTCTGTTTTTTTCTAGGATTACATTAACAACAAACCCAGTAAAATCCCATTAAAGTAGGGTCTGGAGAGGGTGTGCGTACACAATGACAGAGAATTGTATATGTTGAGGGAAAGGTGTATATGTTGGATTTATTCGAGTTTTACGAGAATTGAACATGAGGAATGATAATAGAGTTGGCATGGCTATGTTACCTGAACAAAGGGATCTGACTCAACCTGCTCCTCAAGAAGCTCCGGGGAGATGTAATTTTCTCTTAACGATGATATGTCAACTCTTGGTGGCTTTCCAATGCGAACGCACATTGATGCTCCGGGGTATGAGGGCAATTGGAGCTTATATTTGTCAATAATAGACGATGGAACAAATCTCCCCCCTAGGAAATGGTGCGGCCCACAATACCGTTTGGCGCACAGTTTAGGGGCAGTTAAAGAAACCTACATAATATAAAGTCACATCTCAGATGTCATTATCCTCCCAAGATTAGATTCATAAGAAAAATTGTATGTCATGCATCTCCACACACAAGCATGTCAGGTTTGATGCCTTCACTGCTCAAATCTCCTTCTTCAACATGCCATCCAGATGGAATATCAACAGAGACAATAGCTGGTGACTTATTTTGTCTTAACTCATTACTCTGTAATGCTGCAAGTCTCCTAATTAAATCGTCAAAAGGCGGTCTTGGTGTACCTGGATATTGATAGAATAACAATGTAATGCTAACAATTTACCAAGGCTATATTGACTCCAAATTCAGAAACAATACAACACACCTAGTAAAATCCCACAAAAAGTAGGGTCTGGAGAGGGTATATGTACGCAAACCTTACCCCTACTCAAAAGTAGAGAAACTGTTTTTATGAAACAAACATGGCCTAAGTTTTGCAGTTTGTTTGGGTAGTGTCAGGTAGTGTAGGGTGGGCCGTGGTGTGTGTGTGTGTGTGCGATTAACAAAGAACTCAGGAAGGGAGAGAAATTATTACCATGGAATGAGAATCCAAACATGGCATCAACAAGGATATCAAAGTTTTCTGATAAGTCCATTGGAAGATCTTCCACAGACAAGAAAGGAATTGACAGTGATTCAAGCTACAAAGAGGAATAATAATGTGACAGTAGCTGTTAATGAGAACATGTTTGGAATAGTATTAAGGGCCCATTTAGTGAGCGCAAGCAATACAAGTTATCTCTGCATGCCACTAACAATCTTATCAGAATCTCTCCAAACACTTTCATATCAAAACTCATATCATTGTTTTTAGATTTCAGAAACTATATCATATCAACCCTTCTTTGCACACCAAACGGGCCCTAAAAGTTTTGATTATCTTAACACCCGAGAGCATTTTCTTAAATTGTGTGCTTTGGGCAACCCAAAAACATGAATAGAAACAAATGGAGAATACATACATTTTCTCATATGTAAAATGAACTTAACCAATACCTGAGTCACCAAACCACTATAGAGAGGTTTAGCAGTGCGCTTTGGGTAACAGATAACAGGTTTATAACCAAAGTGGTGAAGATGGCGGGCCGCTACAAGACCATCACCACCGTTATTTCCTGGACCACAAATAGCAAGGACTTTACTGTATTCGCTAGGTTTATAGACCTGTTAATGCAAAAGATATCATGTTTGTATAATTGCAATTCATTGGGGCTCGTATAATCTCAATTCATTGGGACCATGGTGTACAGAGCCTTGCCCCTATAAAATAGAGGTTGATTCCATTAAACCCTTGATTTAAACAACAACAAACCCAGTAAAATCTCACAACAATAAGGTATGGAGAAAATGTGTCTACGCAAACCTTATCCCTACTATGAAGTAGGGAGGTTATTTCTAAGAGACCCCCGACTCAAACATAGAAGCAGAGACAAAGTAAACAAGTAGCACAAACAAAGAAGCACACATGCTGACACTAGCAATGAGATCCAAAGCACAAGAAGACCACAACGCACCAGCTATAGACAGAGAAAACACAAACTAAGAAAACACAGAAGCTTAAACGGGAGAAAGACCAAAGTAGGACTAAAACATTGAAAATATACCAAAATAGGACTTCCATGTTTTTATTCCCGAAATAGGACTTACATTACCAAACATGGTCATATACATTACCAAGAAAGTATAGTAATTTGCACATGTACACTGCCACATTACCACACTGCAAAGTCCTATTCCGGGAAAAAAAATATGAAAGTCCTATTTTGGTACTTTTCTCTATGTTTTAGTCCTATTTAGGATGATTTCTACTTAAACTAAAAACTAAGGCCCAAAGGTCTACCCAACTATTCTAGTCATAACTCTCCATACATTCTTATCTTAGTTCATTACCTCGGTGAGATCCTGAAAGTCTTAAGCCCTGCCTAATCACTTCCTTCCAGCTCTTCCTAAATCTTCCGATTCTTTCTAAGTGTACCTCTACCCCTTCTCACGCTCACTGTCGCGAGCCTCTCAAATCTCCTCTTCCTATGTCTTATAACTCTTCCTAAGCGTACTTCTACCTCTTCTCACGCTCACTATCACAAGCCTCTCGCATCTCCTCACTGGCTGCACTTCTTCCCTTTATTGACCAAACCACTTCACTCAAGCTTCTCGCAACTTATACTACCCAAAACTTCATAAGAAGCCATTTAAATGTTTGATGTATCATTTGGATTTAGACCATTCTTTATACATTGTATAACTTTGTCAATAATGACTCTTTTAGATCCACTGACAGTAGAGGAGTAACAATACTTGTAGTCCAAAAGAAGTATTTTAACAATTAAAAACCATTGGTGCTTCAGGAAGGCAATCTAGATTCTGGGTGCTTAAATGAAAAAAAACATTTATACTTCAAGCTAGCCTAAGTTCTAAAACAGACCTTATGCAAAGAGCTGTCTTAAGCTATATAGTAAGAGGAAATTGTCAATATACTAGGATGTAAGAGTATAGTATGAACTCCATATACATCATTTCTGATTTATGCAATGAAGAAAAATATATTTCAATAACTAAATGAGAAGAAAAATTCACTCACCTCTGCTACTGCAGTGGCAACACTAAGGCCAGCCAATTCCTACAAAAAAACAACAAAAAAATAAAAATGAATCAGCAACTTGAGTGCCAGTCAGGAACCGTGTAAATACAAGGGAGGAAAAAACTGGGGCAGAATTAGACAGAAAATAATTTTTTAAAAACATTAACTTCGTTTAATCAATCTTTCCTAGCATAATGAATCTTATAATAACAATAATAAAAAAAATTCAATCTTTTACTGACCATGAGCTGATCAACGCTGAACCCAAGAGGACCCATGAGCAATTCATCGATTTCCGCAGCTTCTCTCTGCCTCAGGTAGGAAATACACGCCGGGTCATGCTGAATGCTGTCCACTTTGGTCGCCATTCTCCTCGCCCCGACCCGAGAGAACCCGGCCAGCGATTTCCAGCCCTGCAGTTCACAAACCCAGAGAAACCCCCTAATAAACCAATCAATCAATCGAGAGAAAGAGAATAATTTAAAAATATGGAGAGAAAGGGGTGGGAGAGATGCAGACGGAGAAGCGAAGAAGAGCAGGAGTGGGATTGAGATGATGATGATGATGATGATGATGATGGGGTAAGTGAGAAGAAGAATTGGGAGTGCGAAGGAATGATTGGTAGAGAGAAAGGCATTTCATGGTCTCAGATTTGCTCACCCATTGATGCATTTTTCACTGCCTCCGTGTTATCCGTACAAAATGAGTATTTTTAAAATAGTAGGTACTACTCAATAACTATGTGTTTTCTTAAATTAGTTTTTAAAATTAATTTATTTTGCGAGATAATATTCGTTAATTGAGAATAATATTCAGTTCAATCCTTCTGACTAACAACGTTAAAACAACGTTAAGCCGTATGCTATTATCTAAAATGCTACTCTATTTCTTCAAATTGGTGCATTTTCAAAATACAAATATATAAATTATGAAAAAGTATTTAAAATTTTACAGGATACAATTGATATATTGATGTTGGTGTACCCCTAGGCCCTAGCCAATCCTATTAAAAAAATTGATGGTTTATATTCAACTCCATTTGAGTGGCACAAGGATTCAATCACTTGTATTCAGTGTTATGGTGTTCCTGATATCCTATGACATTCATTTTAATCAAAATACTTACTTCCGCCGTTTTGGAATTGTCTTCCGTTTTTTAATATGATTTGACACGATTTTTTAATAAAATGAAATGTGAGTTGGTGTGGTGTGTATAGAACAAAAAAATTGATATGGAGTACATATTTACTTTTCTTAAAAAGAAAAATAAAGAAAATTTTGGGAGAACTCATATGAGAAAGAAAGAAATGAGTATGAAAGGAAGGAAGTATGATGTTTTATTCATAAAATTAATAATTTTTATTTTCTAATCTCCCACCCATATCTCATCTTTGTCCCTCTCAACTCAATCTCGCCCTTCTGTAGCCAATCAACGAAGAAGGGAGAGGGACATGGTGTAGGGTAATTTAGTCATTTGTAAAATCTTATCGTATAGTTTCACATTTTGAAAATGATATCAATGAAAGCCTTTGCTAAGTACAAGATGCCTAAGTGAGGCCTAATGTTTCTCTCTTTATAAAATCCTCTAGCTATAAAGATTTCATGTTTACTTTTGATAGAGTTACAATATACTCTGTATCTTCTTATATTGCCCATTACCACGAAGTATTATTTAATCATTTTACTCTCCCAGTCCTAAAAAAATCTTTTACAAATTGACTTTTTGATTAAATTGCTACACAACTTGACCATTAATAAATACTTCCTACGTCCCATATCCATTTTATATGATCTATTTTAGTTCATGATGTCCAACTAGAGTTATTTTCATTCAGTTTTTAAGACAATTGGAATAAAATTAAAAAATAATATTCACATATTTAAAAACTACATCAAAATTTATACAAATCATTATAGTAGCTGACGAAAATAGATTGAGAAAAGTAAATGAAGTTAACTTTTTTAGTTCAGTTTCTGCTCTGCTTTTCTGTTGTAAATCTGGGCTTAGTTTTGAAGGTTTTCACTTGTTGCATTATGGGTAACTTATTCAGAAATTTATTCTTTTTAACTTATTCTTATTACTACTCTTAGCTATTCTTAATAAAATTAATACAAATCTGATGAGATCAAAAATAACTTTAAATATAATTAATTCAAATCAAATCACACCAAAACAAAACTTATTCCAATCAGATCAGTTGAATAGAACAAGCCCTTAGTAGAAATAATCATTGATGCAAACCCAATATTTGATTAACTTTTTCCCCATTTCTATTATAGTATACATAATTTTTCAGGTACAGAATTACAGAAAAAATACAAAACACAAAATTCTCCTTTCTTCACCAACCACCATATACAATGAAAACACAAAAAAAAGAATCTAACTCAGAAATTTACAACATCCTCTCAGAGTTTTATTTTTATAGTAATTTATTTTATTTTTTACAAAAAAAAAGGAAACAATAATAATAATAATAATAATAATAATAATAATAATAATAATAATAATAATAATACTCACACAAGTACAAGAACAGCTGTGCCTGCTGGTAAATAACAGATGGATCTGTTTGGGTGAACTCTTTTTTTCTTCTTCCTCTGGACATCACATCACAGTATGATCTCTTCCTGAACACTAACATTTAAGGTCTTGTTTGGAAGCACAATGCTGTTGATCACCACAACTTCATCTTCCACGGACACCGATTCACCTTTTCGTTCATTCGCATTTGGTTTTTAATTAATTAGACAACTAACACGTTGCATTTGAAGTTCAAGTATAAAAATTGTTAGAGAATGCGAATAATCATCATACCGAGGATTGTGACTCCAAGCTTTGCGTCAAAATCTCCAACACCCTGAGGAAAATTGTGTAAATGAACGAAATATTTTGACAAGATGTAATGTGACAGTTAGGCTTCTGATGGTGTAAATTATTTGGACCGGATTTACCGTTTTTAAATGGGTTAAGAATGACAGGCTAATTCTAATAAATTGCATTGAAATATCATGAGGCTGATTTTTACCAACTGGGAGAAAACCACGGGTCTTTTTCGACGTTACCTTACAAACATGAGAATTTCATGGATATATAGTGTGTTTGTACATGTACATGATATAGGCGTGGAAGCCATAAATGGGGAGCTTAGAGCTCAATGAAGAAGATTTTAGTTCATCCATTTTAAATTTTAAACACAGATTTGATTTTAGGAGGAGAACAATAAAATCACCTGGACTCGAGACCATCTCCCAACAGATGATTTCCAACCAATAATTGCATGAATGACAACCGCATTTTCCTTTAACGCACAAAAAAAATGTAAATTTCTGGACATGCCATCAAACAAACGGATGATTTCCTAAATACGTACCTTGATTTCCACATCATCAAGAACAATGCAATCAATGAGCCTCGCACCAGCTCCGATACGAACATTGGCAGATAATGAAACATTTGGACCAATCTGTTAGTTCAAATTTAACAACATATGTCATCATCATCATGTATGATAATATTGTTAAGAACTTACATTGAAATATTCAAGAATTAGAGTAGTTGGGTAGACCTTTGAGCCTTTGTACTTTATACTAGTTCATGCATCAATGGTCTGACAAAAATGACCTTTTTTCTTTCTACAAAGGTAAGGTCGTGTATATCTTGACCCTCATATCACAATTAAGTAAAGATTGTACTAGGTTCGTTATTGTTTGTTGCAATCTTCTTACAAGGAGAATGATGAGATAAAATTCTAAATATTAACATGTAGATCTTTTTTCATTAAATGACTACCTTTGCAGACGGGTGGACTTTTGCAGAAGGATGAATGTACACATCGCCGACTATTAACGCGTTCTTTGTGCCATCCCCACTTGCCAAAAGATGAGGAAGTGTGCATCTAAATTGAGAAAGGTACAAACTTGAACACTTCAAAGACATCCTGCAAAAGAGTAGAAGCTCAAATCGTGCCATTTAACGGCTCATATTAATTCACGTATTCACTTGGGGTTAGTTTGGATGGACAATTTTGAAGGGCCAAGTCCATCATGATAAAAATTTAAGCTTTTTTTTTGAAAAAGAATACAAAATGTTCAATCATTCTTCATCTCGCTTCTGATATATCATACTCCCTTCATCCCAAAATAAACAAAAAAAATTCTTTTTTGGCCCATCCCAAAATGAAACTCTGTTCTTCACCATTTCTATTTAAAATCAATTTCATCCACACACTTTTTTACTTTTCAACACCTTTCTGAAGCTCTGTGTCGGATCAAGATATAGACTAAGCTCTCCAAAGTCTCTCTTCCGAAACCCTGCATCCAAACTCATCCATAGATTTGGCTTCGCTTACCCGGGAGTTTTGATTTGTTCCCAGAAGTCCATGGTTTCATAGGTATATAGTTGCTTCTTCCCGGCAAGTGGTGATAAGATATCTTGATCCAACCGCACAAAATCTGCCGGAAAAACCCTGCAAAATAAACAGCCTGTATGAAGAAGCACAATTGGTAGAATTTGTGTGCACTCTTTGATAGATAGCAATGAGAGGCCATTTATTTCCATTTTAATTCTCATTTGATTCTGGAGATTGGCTGATGCTTGGAAACACTTTGTTGAATAAGTACCCTCTCTGTCCTATATCTTTCTTTTCGTTTTCTTTTTTGGACCGTCCAATATCTTTCTTCTCCTTTCCTTAAACGAAAATAATACACACCTCTTTACAACTAAAAGACTACTTTAACCTTACTTTTGGAATATTCACCTTTTTTACATCTCTCTTCAATTTAATACACCACCAAAGATAAAAATGAAAAGTCAAACATTTTTTATCTTACATTAAAAAACACATCAAGTCAAAATGAGAAGAAAGATATCAAGCGGAAGGAGTATTGGTCAAAAAGAAGATAGCATACAAATATTTGTTACAGATACTACATTTTTTTGTTTTTTGTTTTTTTGGGGGAGCTTATAAAAAGTATTTAAGCTAAGTATGTGACATTTTAAGATAATACAGGCGCAAAGTATGTACCTATTTGGGAGCTGAAAAGCTTCAAAGCTAGACATACGCTGCAAGTTGGCTGCAAATAGCAGAAATAATTTCATAACACATAAAGAGCAATTGTATTTTAATCATAACTGATTCCAAACTCAAAGGTTATCCCCATAAACCAACTATCAAACAAGTCAAAGCGTTAGGCATGAACAACAACAACAACAACAACAAACCCAGTAGAATCCACAAGAAAGTAGGATTTAAGAAAGAGTGCCGCATTAAATTTTGGTGAATTTTGGTAGGTTTTAGTGAATTTGTTCAGTTTTTGTTTTCAAAGCTGAAACCTTAAACTGCTAACCTAACTGTCTATGGTTAGATTCATTTTTGGCTGGTTGGGTTTAGGGCAGTTTTGGTTGTGTCCGATTGTCCGTACAAACCTCTTTCTTTCCGTTGATGTGATACACCTTGAATGGCAGTAAAAATATCTGGAGTAAATACATAAACACCACAATTTATGCGTTCGCTCACCTGCAAAATTTATTCAATGATTTAGAGATCGAACACTAAAAATAGTTATGTATAGTAAACATCTGCAATTGTATGTGGATGATTACATACAAAAGTTTCAGGTTTCTCAGCATAGTGAAGTAGTTCATTGGTAACCGGGTCAGAAACGAGTTCCCCAAACTCACTCGCTGACTCAGGAGATACCTGCACGGGAAATGTGGAAAAGAAACAGAAAAATAAATATCCTCCCACCATAAGTCTTCTTCTTCTTCTTCTTCTTACAGATTAACACATAGGTCACATACACAAGTTGCATGTTCTTACCTTGCGAACAAGGATAGTGCCCATGCCCCCATATTTTCTGTGAGCCTCTGTTAGCATGAAATGAAGCAACCAATGCATCTTAGGAAATAATCCAAATGGCTAATTACATTATGAACTCAAAAAGAAAAGAAAAACTTGGTTTCGTTTGGAAACGCTTCTTTATTTCAATATTTCTCTTTTAAATAACTAAAATATAAATCTGATATATCATCTATACTCCCTTCGTCCCCAAAAGAAATAGACACTTTCACTACCCAGAATTCAAAAAAGTGTTGGAAATGAGTATGATGTCTGAATTTGCTTGAAGAGAGATTTGTTTGGAGCCACATATTCCTTTCCTCAAAAAAATATGAGAAGGGTAAAGTTTATTCTGGCACACACGGAAAAGGAAAGTGTAATATTCTTTGGGGAATAGAGGTAGGATAATATAATGTGAAATTTGCACTAAATAGGACTAAAACGTAAGTCATTTCCCAATGTAGGACTTAAACTTTTTTATTCCCTAAATAGTACTTAATAATGTCTAGTGAGAGGAATAATGTCCAGTGATGGTGGACATTAACTTGAATAATGACTAATGAATACTGACCAATAGTCCTACACTCGGAAATAAAAAACATATGATCCTATATTAAGAGAGTCATTATGTTTTAGTCCTATTTAGGTAAATTACCCTAATATGATATGAAAAAATAGAATTTTATAGAAATTCTAAATCTTCTATGGGCAAGGATCTTTTGACATCAGCCCTTAATGTCATAATATGACATGGGGCGCCTACGGTGCCCCACTCACAAAGTTGATGGTTCCTGCCCCCCTAACCCCCGATTGTTGATTTGGCATGCCAAATCGGCAATCGGGGGGCCAAATCGACAATCAGGGGTGTAGGGAGGCCAGACGATCAGGTGGCAAGGAGGTTAGGAATCATCAATTCTGCGAACGGGACACCTATGTCATATTATGACATTGGTAACCAATGCCAAAAGATCCTTGGTGATCTTCTATAAACAACGCCGATATTGAAAACATCATTTCATTTTTTCACAAAATGAAAAAACATGAAATTCGTGCTCCCAATAATTCTCAAAATTATCTTTTTGTTTTCAGAAACTGAAAACGAAAAAATCTTGCTACAAAACACTTTTCTTGTTTATGTTTACGAGAAAAGCAAAAACAAAACCCAAAAAAAGCGTTACAAAATGACACCTTAATGGAGAGCAAATTACCAAGCATCTCAGGCAGTGGGAAACTGCAGCAAACATCACAGTTCAGTAAAAAGATATGCGACTGTCAAATAAACAAAGGGTAGTATATATTAGCCATAATGAAATAATTCATCAGAAAGTTCAAAGACTATATAATTCCATGTTTTTTTCCAGTGTTTGATCTGTCCATAAATCAATCCAATTAATTTATTTAACAATTTCATAAGTATAGTAGACAAAGAATTACGTTGGGGTTCTTTTGGCACCCAACTTGAGGTCATATTGTGACACCGAGTGATTTGAGAGCCCTACAATGCTTCGTTTGATCATAAATTCGCTCTTATCCCCCAGCCTGCCCCCTGCCCCCATATTTTTCCATTTTGAGCAATGGGTTTGGAGATAGGAACCAATTTGGGGCCGAACAGAGCAATGTAAGGCCCGCAAATCACCCGGTGTCATAGTATGACACCGGGAATTGGTGTCAAAACTCAAAAGGTCCTGCCTCTGAGAATTAATAAGCAGCGTGACGAAAATTCTAACCGGGCTGTCTTCCATGATCATATCTCGGAAATTGTATAGTCCCCCACCTGAACCATGTGGTTTATCCTCTTTCAAGTATCTAATGATCATAAGCTATAAAGCATTAGCTGGAAGAGAAAAGTCTTACTGAAGTTTATTAGTAATGAAAAACAAACAAGGCCCCGAGCATAACCTGACGGGAACTCTCAGTTCGTTTGAGATTGAAGACACATATATGGCGAATTCTCGCTCCTCGTAGAATCCAATAAGATAGATCTGTGCTATGTTTGGAATCTACGGACAGAATCAAATTGCACCAGTCAAGAGAATAGACAACACAAAGTTACTGGCACACAACAAGATCAATACTTCAAGACATAAAGGTGCAAAAGAAAAGCTCAAGAAATATTGGCATACTGTTGAAGAGTGGTACCGACCAAAATTTCATAGAGAGTAAGAAGCTATGGAAGTTAAATGTGCCATTTTGATTTAGTCCATTATATGCCCGAAACTAAAACATTGTTAATGGTGACTCTTTTAGCTCCATTGGCAATTTGCTACACAAGAAAGTATAGTCAATATACTCAATACAAGTTGAATAATCCTCGCCTCTTGAGAACTCTTTTGTGGTTGAGTTAGACCCAACCTTATTCTTAAGATCGTATTAGAGCCAACCAAATCATATACATTGTATGGGATATTCGGATCTCAATGAAAGAAATGCATGGACATGTATCGCATTGACATTAACTAAATATGACTCAATGAACCGCATATAAGAAGTTGGGTTAGGGCATTAGGCACCACCTTATTTGTGTACGAGGTACTAAGACTAAGCAAAATGTTTCAACTTGTTAGCCATTCTTGGGTTTAGTTCATTCCACGGTTGAAAATGTGAGTATCAATGGAAGTGAAGATGGAAATGTAGGAACTCAAACCCATTTTCTAAAAAAAAGTATTCATAAAAATATATAGAGAATTTCAATCACAACAACTAAGGAGTATGTATTGGTGACATCCAAAAATGGATATATACATATATAGTTAGAGACACACACATACTAGGGCTCATTGAGCTTTGATTGTTTCTCTCGGCCAATTTTTATTCTCAAATTCAGCTATTCCCTCTGTCCCATAAAAAAAGTTCCACAATTTCGTTTCGTCCGTCCCAAAAAAGAAGTTCCACATTCCGTGTAAGGAAAACTGTATGTGGCTCATGTCACTTCTCCACCAATTTCAACCACACAATTTTTTTTCTTAATTACCGTGTTGATTCCATCATGGAACCTTTTCGTGGGACGGGAGTACTTATGAATTGGTTTATTTTGTTGAACTTTTGAATATAATATCCAAGATAGCAAAACCAATAACTTATTCTACCCAAAATCTGAAACAAATACGACACCAACCGATTCAAGTTGATTCTGAGTATCCAAATCTCAGGATCTACCATAAAAATTTGTCTATGAGTAATTCTAAATAAACATAAAAAAATGATGTCATAATTAATGGTTGAATTTGAACCACATACCCTTTTACAAGCAGAAATGGGATGATGAACCATTGGCTGTCCAGCAAGGGGGAAAAGAGGCTTTGGGATATTCAGTGACAGTGGCCTAAACCGGGTACCTATAAAACCAATCAAAGATTCAAACTTTTTGTCTGTTTACAATAAATCCAAACATTAAATAAGAATTAGATGCGAAATTGGCTGGAAAAGAGTCTCATTGTGTCCCCAAATCTTCAATTCTTGCACATACCTTTGGTTGGCCCTCCTACCATGATCACAGCAACAACTTTCTCTTCAAAACTCCCCATTCCTTCTTTCCAAAACAAAAAATAAGGGTATGTTTGGTTGGAGGTAGGCAAAAGTTTTATTAGGTAAGTAATGGTAGGTAATTGAAGGCAGGTAAAGTAAGGTAATGAGTTAAAAAATTATGTTTGGATGTTAACGAGGTAACGTGTAGGGAAATGATAAAATTACTAAAATATCCTTGTGGTTGTTTTTCTTAATTTGTTTAGGATGTATTTATATGAAATTATCTTTCACATTATATTCTTACGTAAAATATTACATACAAAATTATTTTTACATCAATTCTAAACATTTTTTTATTAAATTTATTAGAATTCTAAAAATTTAGCATAATTCGCGTTAATATGTAAGAACTCAAATCACTAGCACCAAGTCCAGATAATTGCAAAAAAACAGAGTACAATAACAAAACTGCAGAAAACGAAGTACAATAACAAACTACAAAAACAGAGTACTCAAAATTGCACAATTGTAGAAAAAAACAGAAAAAAATAACCAGAAAAAGAACAGAAAAAAACCACAAAAAAGAAACAAAAAAAAATGAAAATTAAGTAATGATCAAATCGGCTATGAAAAAAAAAGTGAAAATTGAAGATGGCAGGTCTGAAATTATTATCAAACCGCAGAGATGAAAATTGAAGATGGCAGATCTAAAATTGCCGATCTAAAATTGAAGTAATGATCAAACTGCAGAGATGAAATCTGGAACAAAAAAAAGTGAAAATTGAAGTAATGATAAAAAAAGAAGAAGTAAGGTGGGCCGAAAATGCAGTGCATAGAAAAAAATGTAAGCAGGGCCGAAATACCTGTATTGGATGGCGATCGGGTGAAGACGACGATCTCAGAAATCCCAGTACAAGCTTGCAGCTAAATAGCCAGCTCTCAAATCCCATTGGGGGTACCTCCACAATTCATAGCTCCCCGATAAGTCAATTAACTCTTTTGACACCGTCCCAAAAGGCCAAAAAAAAGGACTCCCTTCACGGAGTTAAAATACGGAGTATGTAAAAATTTACACTAATATTTTTCAGTGGGGTTCACACCCACTTTTTGTGACACTAGCGATGTCACTGTCATTTTGGAGTACTTCTGCTACTCAGTTCAAATATAAGGAGACTGGTGAAGCTCAATTGGATACCATACTCACCCATATGTGTGGGCGCGTGGCCGAGTGTGATACTCGACTAGAAGGTTGAAGGTCGATCTGCTTGTGTCAAAAAACGTAAGGTAGTGTTTGGAAACTAGCATTTCATTTCAATTCATGCATTTCAATTCTAAAATCTGAAATCTTGAATTAAGCTTTGTTTTGAATGATACGGAGTAATAATTTGATTCAAATCCAAATTTAAAATTTTTAAGTTTCTCAAACATGGAATGTGAGTCAAATCAAAATTTGAAATCTAAAATTCATGTTTCCAAACATGGGACCGCACGCTAAATACTCTTTCAATTCAAACGATTGTTATATTGACCTCGAGAGTGGTATGACGACAAGGACAATGGTCCAATCGTTTGACTAGAGTTACCTATTCACCGAATCACCATGCCCTTATTTATCTTTTTCTATTCATTCATTACATTATAATCTTACTCGCGTATAATCTGCAAATAAATTTCATGTATCCATCAAAATAGTATACTTCGTAAATAGTACTACTTTCGTCTCAATTTAAATCGCCGGTTTAATTTACGATGTTTGACTAAAATTATTTTCAAATAATTTTATATAAAAAGTGATGTAGAATTTAAAAAATTAAAATTATAGATTTAAAAAAACATATCAAAAGATTTACAAAAACTATTGGGGACATGATTATGTTATTTTATTAAAAGACTAACAAAAATAAGATAAGAAAATGAATGAAATTTTATCCCATTAAATAAAACAAATAATTTAATTTGGGACAACGGAGTAACAGTTTAGAATGGAATATTGAAGATTAAGTAATTTTTAAGATTGAAAATTTTGCACAACAATTGAGGTCAAATTACACAAGGTATCATATATACATGCAATTTGCAATGCACACTTAGCATTTTAAATATTTACAAACTAATTAGTTCAAATTCTCCATGAAATATCATTGATTGTTAGGAAGATCACACCTCCTCCTCACCTCGCCTTCTTCCCCCGTCTTCACTCCGTAAACGCTCAGCTTTTCCATGGCTCGCCCGAAATTGTTGGCGAACGCGGCGGCGTCCTTTGCGTATTTCTCCACGAACGGCCTCGTCCGGCCGTCGCCCATCAGCCGCTGGTCCGACGCCAGCACTCCCAATCCGTTCCTCAGGTTCCTGAAGAAGGTGTTGTCGAACGTCCCCGGACTCATCGGATCCAGAAACGCCGCCATTCCCGTGTTGTTCTTGTAGTCGGCGCACAATGTCTGTAGCCGCCCGATGAGCTTAGGGTTCATGGTCGGGTCGGGCGTCGACCCGAAGATTCGATCTGCGAATTCCTTGCAGTGGGCGAACCCGATGGTGTGGCCGCCGCCGATGAGGACGACCGTCTCCGGGACGGTGAATCCGAGGGCTTGGAAGGCGTCGATGATTCGATCGACGGTGGAATTTGCCCGCGGGAGCTTCCCGGTGACCCCGGAGGCCAGGGAGACGACGCCGTCTTTCCGGCCGAATCGGAGGTCGTAGTAGGGCCCGCCGAGCTGGACGATGAGGTTGCGGGTGGCGACGGCGAGGATGTCAGAGCATGAGACGGTGGTGGGGCATTGGAGCTCGAGGGCGGTCTTGGCGCGCTGGATGACGTCGAAGCCGTCGCCGGCGAGGGACAGGTTGACTTCGTCCTCGATCTCCGCCTTGTTGAAGGCGGTGGACTTGATGAGCACGGAGGCGTCGCATCCGTTCACGGCGCAGTCGTGGTAGAAGAGGCGGAGGACGGCGGCGGCGGTGGTCGGGGACTCTTGTTGCTTCTTCTGGACGATTTCCATTAAGATCTGTTGGAAATTAGGGCAAGTCTTGGAATAATAGTCAACAGTGAGGGCAGAATGGGAAAAGGGAATGATTGAGGAAAAGGATGAAACCAACAATAGCAAAAGAATTGGTAAAGCCATTGTTGGTTTCAATCTCTTTTTTTCTTTCTTTGTTGATTTATATATTTAATTTGGTCTTAATTAGGATTATGTCAAAAAAAATTTGGGGCTTATAAAGAAATGATGGGTACATTAATTAAGAATCATATAGGGATGAAGGAGAGAATGCTTGAGATTTGTGGGCAAGAGAGTTTTTAGGGATAAAAATGTTATTGGTCAAGAATTAGTGGTGGAAGGTGAGCATGAGTTGTACTTCCAAATGTAAAATAATAATCACTCATACAATAAGGATTTTGTTGATTCATTTCTTATTGTCTTTGTCATGCCATATTTGCAACATGAATAAAGTGTGAATATAATTTTACTTTTACTCAATAAATGTTATATTTTCTTGTTTCAAACATAATTTTTGTCTATATTAATTAAAAAAATTTAGCACACCAATAAGGCAATAACTTTGAAAATTTTAGGAAAAAAATTAGTGCTCTTATATTATGGAGTACTTTGGTATGATCTTAACCTCTCTTACATTGATATAGAGTATTTTATGATTCCCCTGGTTAAAGTAATGTCTCATCACATACTAGGCCCGTGAAATCTTCGTTGTAAGCGGTTGAAGATAGTCGTTGTGAAGTCTCGAAGTTGAATCATATTAAAAAGGGTTGCTTGCCAAACTAGTGTGGTGTTTTGACAGAGTTCAAAAGATCGAGACTTGGTGGATTCGAAAATCCTTAAGGAGAAGTCTTAAGGTACTGAAGTAGGAAGCTCTTAAACCAATATAAAATTGGTGTGTCATTACTTTACGCTTTTAATTTTCTGCGCTTTTACATTGCTTCTGCATTTGCCAACACCAATTTTATCAAACTTCGAAAAAGTTTTTAAACGTCTTATTCACCCACCTCTAAGGCATGAACACATCGATTGACAAGTGGTATCGAAGCTATTTTGTAGTTGAAAGTGTTTAACCACATCTACGACAAAGACTCGATGGAATCCTAAAGCATTCACTGCCCTCTGGTTTTCAATGCCCAAAACTATTTATATTGGAAAATGCGGATGGAATCTATTTTATATAATATATTGATTTTGATTTGCGGTTGAATATATACTTCATGAGCCATTTGTGCTGAGAAATGGAAATCTTGCAGTTATTGAGGACAAGAGGAAGTTATCCATGAATGCAAAAGTGATTAACATCTTGCATTATTCTCTTGGCCCCGATGAAATTGCACGAGTTTGCTCTTGCAAAACTGCCAAAGAAGTGTGGGAATTGCTTCAAGCCACTCACGAAGGGGACGCCTCAACAACACAAACGATGATTGCCCTTAAAAACTCAGAATATAAATTTTTCAAGAAAGGACCAAACGAGACGATCTAAGGCATGAACAAGAGGTTCAACGAAATTGTCAACACATTAAGTAAGTTAGGTAAGACGTGTACTACATGCAAAGTAAATACGAAAATATTATTTTCTTTACCTAAAGAATGACATAATAACATAGTAGATTTATTACACAAATGTAAAAAGGCTGAAACCGCCAATATTTGGTCTTCTTTGTATTCTCGCAAAATTTTGATGAATACAATCAAAGAGGAAGAAAAGCGTGAAAATCCCAAACTTAAATATGCCTTCAAAGCCAAAAAGGATTCGTCAAGTGAAGAGTCGAGTGAGTCAAATAATAAAGACGATGAAGAAAGGCTATGAGAATGAAATATACGGATTTCCTCAAATAGAAGAAGTATGTGAAGAGGAAAGAAACTTATTCCAAGCTGAAGAAGGAACAGCATAAACTAATGTAAGTTTTCATACTTATTGGGGTAAGGGCAAAATTGACTTTTAAATATAAACGAAATTTTTTTTGAAACAAATAGAAAAAAGGAGAAATCTTTTCATGGACTAGAGTTTTAAACAATATTTTACATTCAATAAATGTTTAAAAAAGAATTAATTATTTTTTTGTTATTCCATATTGTCTGTTTAAAAAAACTAGGACCAAGTTTTAACCTCCATCTACCCAAATTTTTGGATCCGCCACTGAGATTAGCTATTAAATTCTCAAGTTTTAACGGTTAAAAATAGCCGAGAAATCCTTGGATAAAAGGTTTGATGACAACCTTTCAAGTCATTGGGAGGAACAATTGAAGATAGCCATGAAATCTTTGTTGTAAGCGGTTCGAGATAGCCGCTGTGAAATATTGGAGTTGAATTTTTTTTCTCCAAAGTTTTTTAAATGCCTTATTCACCCCAAAGTGTGGAAACATTGACTAACAGTATGTATAGTAGATCCATAGAGAGAACATGTTTCGTGCTCAAGGAGCATCCAGACCCGAGCAATATAGATCGGCCCGAGGGGTGAATGGTTGATTGATTGACTGACCCCGAGCACGACCCAAGGCTGGGAAAAGCAGCATGGATAGGCCCAACCTCAATTGCTATTCGGCCCACTTAACGACCCATTTCGCGTTCCATTAAGGTTGTCATTCTAAATTTGTACTCCCTCCGTCCGAAAATGTTCTTCACATTTGACTTTTCTTGGTCAAAGTTTATAAACTTTAACTACAATTTGTGGAAAAAACACATTCTATTATGATGTAAATTTAATATCAATGTATTAATAATGAAACGTAGTTTTCAAATATCAAATTTTTATAAAATATATCTATTTATAAATATAGATATTAATGGTCAAAGTGCAATATTGGAGACCGTGAAAAGTCAAATAGAAAGAATATTTCCGTACGGAGGGAGTAATACGAAACACGATATGAATGAAGATCACTTTGACTTGGTTTGACTAAAAAGGGACTCTGTGGTTTCCTCTAAACATATGCAAACAAGGGAACCAAATCCCTTTGAAATTTGGTTGGTGGCTTTCTTAGTTTGATAAAAAAATTTGTTATGGTAGGAATATAATTATGGTATGAATAGAAATTTACTTATTTATTTTACCATCTTTCTATATAAAGAGAGTTAAACCTTTGTAATTTTCGACTATATGCAATATACAGAATATTTTTTCATTATTATTTACTACAATCTTCTTCATCGTCTTTCCCAAACCCACATTTCATGCATAACAATTTTGGCCTAGAGATGGTATTGGAACTCCAAGAAACCCCATCTATACTTATATTATATGGAATTTTAAATTTACGTTTTAAAATAAATCTATTGATATTAAATTTATATCATAATACAATTTTTTTCTCAAAGATAGCTTTTAACCGCAACCTCAAACACCATCTATATCTTTTTTGTGAAATGCAAAAGATCGACCCCACTCTATCACTAAGCTTTATTATATACCAATTACTTTCCTCTTCAATTTTTGATGTGAGATACTTTGACATAGTTTTTCATTGATAATGTTGTGAAGATTCTAGGCGGAGTAAGAGTGGCATGGGGGTCGGAGATGAAGAATGATGACGACATACATCCGAGAGGAATGGCTAGTATATATCGGGCCTGTTTGGGATTAATGTTAGAGGTTAGCATTTTCAAAATACTATCTACGGAAAGCGCTTAACGTTAGTGTTTTTAAAGTTAATGTGTACTGTTAAAATTTTATCTTAAGGGCTAATGCTAATAAAGAATGTTATTCTCAAACGGGCCCATTAAGAATATATGAAAATTTTTAAGCAAAATAATAATAATAATATGGAATAATATTTATGACTAAAAAAATAGAAAAATAAATAATAAAAATTTTCAATTTCTCCTCATACAAATAATTTATTAAAAAAAGCTGAGGAGGTGTCGTCAATGAGACAAAACTGAAGGGGTTGAGTTGTCAAATATTTAGTACATGCACCAAGTAATTAAATATGCACAACTACTCATAATTCAAATTTCACTCATGACACGTAATTTGCTTTTCTTGGTGGGAGGTGTGGAACACAATCATTTGATTTTTAAAAAGATTAATTATTCTTTTTTTCCTTGTGTAGTTTTTTTTATAATTAAATACTACTCCTTAGTTGGATATACTTTCCTCTTCATACATCATGACGAATGTAATAATTAAAAATGTTTCAGAATGAACACAATTGCTTTTGAAATGAACATGTTTCAGAATATACGCTATGTTTTTTCATAAATAACACAATGCTGAGGAAACATCAGAATGAATAGTACGGTTGAAAATGAATATTCTGTTGATTCAAAATAAATATTCGTCGGGTATACTCATCGCTGCGTACAACCGGCTGTAGAGCATAGTCTAGGATTGTAAACGAACCGAATCGAAATCGTAATATTTGAATTTGTATTTGATTTTTTTTTTGGATACGAATCCAAATACGCATATGAAACGAATTAAAAATAAGATTTGTATTTGTATTTGATTAATATTTGAATAGTTGTCGAATCCTAAACGAATATTTGAGTAATCATACTCCTTAATTTATATGTCGATTTTGAATAATTTAACTTACCAGATTTTTTTATACCATATGTAAAAACATTAAATCATTTGTGTCTTACACAAATTATATTTTACAAAACATTTCTGTGTATATAAATATATTCGAATATGATCCGAATCGAATACACATCTATTTGTATTTGTATTTGTTTAATATTCGAATCAAAACTAATTTTTGAATTTGTATTTGAATGACGTGAATTCGAATTATCATATTCGAATACGAATCATGAATGGAATTTTTATTTACAACCTTAGAATATACACTCTCACATATTGTGGAGTATTGTCCAACCAATGAGGTGTACCTAAACATCAATTTCCAAAACTATCATTTGTAATTTTTTATGGTAACGCCGTAACGGATTTTGATTTCGTTTCAAGATTTACTAATTAATGGAAAAACAGTTTGGTTCTGTTTGGATAATGAGAACATTATTTTCATTTATTAGACATTAATCGTTTTTAAGAGTAGCAAAAAATTACTCCGTATATTTATTGGTTCATCTTTACTCTTTTCTCGTGAGTAAGTTTATTTCATTCATATTTTAAACTATTTTTTAAAAACATTAAACGAAAACAATATTGAGGTAGGCAATTATTTTTGGTTTAAAATTTTCAATTGATTAACATGAAGCAATAAACAAGTAGATACTTGGTTTTAAGTTGTGAGATTTAAAATGCTTAAAGTTAGACATTTTTTTAATAATCAATTCAAGATGAGGGTGTGAAATGTTAAAACTAAATTTTAACATTGATGTCAAACAAGAACTTAGAACACTTACAGTGGAGGACTCAAAATGCGCCGCGTCGCGGTGCGCCATTGCAG